TTGCTGCAAGAAATTTAGGGGCGGTTGTTGCTGAAGGGGCAGTTGATGGAGTTGCTGCTGCTGCTGCTGCTGCTGCTGCGGAAAGGAGTTGGCGATTCTCTGTTGAGGAAACGCCGGTGGCAGTCTTTGATGGACTGGTTGAATCGGTTGATACGGACCGTGTTGTCGTTTGGGAGATCCTGGCGGAATGGAAGTTGGTTTGGTCTGCTGTTGGGTCGGCGGTGCTTCCAAATCGCTACGTTTGTTGTGATTGTTCGGTGGCACTTGTTCGGTGCCAAACGTGACGCGAATACCACTAGAACCAGAATGGTACACTTCACTGTCGGGTCGAATGATAGCTCTCAAAGTCGTAGAAGGCTCTGGCGGTGCTGGTGTCGCCGTGTGAACAGGTTCTTCCGGGTAAGGCGCTGGGTTATCTGGCTTGATCTCTTCATGTTCCTCGACGGGTGTTAGCGCAGGCACCGGTGGATCGTAAACGACTCGAGACTTATCTCCGTAGCCTTTCTTTTTCTCATATTTCACATAAAACACTTGTACAGGTTCTTTCGTAGGCCTCTGAGGCGGCGGAGGTGGCGGAGGTACCGGTGTCGGCAACGATTCATTGGATTCCTTGATGATAATTTCGATGATCGGTTCCGGTTCCGTCGGGTAATAATTCAGCGGGCCCTCCTCGTAGAAATCGTCGCTCTTGGAGCTCGCCAAAGGATTGTAAAGCGGATCTCTCTGAGAATACTGAACGATTGGTTCCATTTGGACCGCGTAGGGTGGTGGTCTGGCTCCTCTCCTCGGATAGAATGCAACCTGTTGTCTCTTATCACGGCTTTTCGAGGACTCATCTTTGGCAAAGGTCGCAACGACGAGGAGCGCTATTATCACGACAATCTGGAAATAGGAATCTCTATCGGAATGCGTGGAAACAAGGGGAACCAAATGAGAAGTATCTGTGTGTAAATGTGGAACGCATTTGTGGAAACATTCGTCGCACGTGGTTAACCGAGTGACCTGATTAATAAACGAGAAGAAGCATCCTGTAAGACCTTAAAAGGCCAATCGATTGGTATTCTAGCGTCGCGGAATGGACAGTTACTGCTATCCTGATAAGCGATTCCCAGCTGCGATCGTGTTCCCGATATGGCGAGGCCGAGTTACCAACACGTATCGAACGTATAGGATGTTTCTCGCGTTTAAATTGTGCGAATAGAACAGAAAATTCTTGTCGCTTGTTTCACATGGCCATAGAGAGAAAGAAGGAGAGAAAATTTAGGTTTTAAATTCAGCGGCGCACGCGTTTCACCTCGAGAATTCGGTGACTCTCTTGAAGCGCGGGGGACTTCTTAATATTCCTCGAACAAAAAGAAACTCGGACATAGTCGACGTACGCGGCTGAAATGAAATTTATTTATATTATGGTCTTCGTGCTAAGTGCTGAGTAAATTGAACGATGGAGCACGATACGATCTCATTAGGCCATACGAAACGTATCTCGTTAGAACATTTTTTTGTAGAATTTGAAATTCAATTGGATTAGTAAAAAAGAAAAGAAAAAAAAAAAGAAAAGAAAAGAAAGAGAGGAAAATTACGTTATGAACTATTAACTGCGTATACAAACGCGTCGCTAATCCGATATACTTTCCCTTGCTAAGTAGCCAAAGGCGATACGCTGACTGATTACAAATGATAGAACCGCGTCGAACGTTTCCCGTAACTACGAAACGAGACATGGTTATTACGATGAAAGTACAAGCGGGCGCGTTCTCTGAAATTAGTTATTTACACTATTAATACGACCCTGTACGGCGAGGAGTTTCACCGGCTCCTGGGAATATTCTCGAAGGGATACCATCTTTTATACAGTTACCAGTTTAAGGAAGCGCATGGCGTGTCCGAATCGGTTACTCGTTGAGCTTTTTTTTTTTTTTTTTTTTTTTTGCCTAGATCGTCTTCGAGGAGTCACACTTCACCGGCTTCACGTGCTTAACTTCGATCAAGAGCAGTTAACTCGCGATAGGCAACATGATATCCGTAAGATCGGGCATGTACTGAACGATATTGAATGGAGCTTGGACCCAGAGGCTCGTTTCTCCCTACCTGATGCCACCACCATCGGAATACTTCAAGAAGCTCCTCTCTAATATCGAATACGGTGGGGCACCTTTCTCTGGCTTCGTTGGCTACGTACATTTTACGTTGGCTAGTGTAAGGCAGCATTTAAACTGTTCGCGTGCAGGACATACGTACAGACGCGGTTTCAAGACGAAAAAGAAAAAAAGGAAGAAAGGAAAAGAAAAAGAGAGAAAAAAGAAAGATTTCAGCACGAAGAGGCAACGACACGGGCGAAGTCGTTGTCAACTTTCTTTAAATCCATCCGTCAATCGAAAGGAAAGGAAGGCGATTATATTAAACGTTCCTTTTCCGTTGACCTCCAAGGTCTATCGAAATCGAAACCTATCTTTTCTCTAGGAGAAGGCCGTGTCCGCGATTCGTATTGTACACACCGAATTATTTGGTGAAAGACTACCATCTCTCGAGAGTATGGCAACTTACACATACACTCGCGCGCTCACGCTTACATACACTTATCATTACTTTCGCTAAAAGTTTTAAAGCGGTTCCGAGCGAACGATTTCTTATGAACAAATCATTTCCTGCGTCTGTCTAACGACCTTTCTTTCACGGAGATAAGTAAATTCCCATGGTCACTTTTACTATGTACCAACAGTTAACCTTTGGTTCAAGAATTTCTTAAGTTTTTATATCTCGATTTTATTTACTTACTCTGTTCATTAACGATACTTTAATTTTTATTCTACTGCGAACACATAAATATTAATAATTGCGCTGCTTAATTAACGAATCAGAAGAAATTACGACTCATATGTAATTGCTACATACGTATTTTTCATTAAGTTTTATTTTCAGCCTTGTTAATAGATTACGTAGTTTTCCTCTCCATAATAGAAACAGTCCGAGATTTTCCAACAAGTTTATCCCACGTGGAAAAAAATCGCGTGCACTCTTTTCCCGTAAATCGTGTTCAGTTTGCTGTGAAAGGCAGAAATCTAGACTACTAGTTAACTGTGGATGACCTGGTAAAACCCTTAGTTGCAAAAGCTTTGATGATGCAAAATTCTCATACTTGCGTAACATGGATTCCAGATTGGAAGCATCATGCAATTGTGATGGATTATTTTAAAATGATTGTCCCTACATTGTCCCTCAACCTCTCTCATGTCCTCACCTTTGAACTTTGATGGTTCAAGGATGCAATAGGATAAAATCGTCAAGCTTCGAAAGTTTGTCAATCGATTTTGCAATTAGACAGAAAGCAATGATCAGAGTACATTGACATTTAACGATTTCAATGGACCAGCATCCTACCATAAGGATGAACTTTTTAGCAAATATCCATGCGAGATTCGACGTCTCGTCCGTCCTACTTGAAAACTTTCACTTACGTTGGCGTAAGAGATCCAAACAACGACCGAGAGAATACGATGAGCAAAGAATCGAATGGTCAGTGATTTCTAACCGTGTGAAGTTTTTTCTTGTGAAAAATTATTTACATCGCGTGGTCGACAAATTTCATATCCTCCGAGTTTTGCCAAAAAGAATAAGATCAAACAAGATGCGATTTCACAATTAGAGAATTCACTCAATAAGAGAAGAACTGTGCAATATTGTTAATTGTTTGTACTGAAGACGAGCGAGAATAGATAAAGATAGATTTATCGTGGCGTTTAGCAATAATTGCAACAGTAGTTGCAATCTGAAACATTTAAGAGTGGATTACACGAATCTTAGACGCTTGGTTCTCATGAAAGTCCAGCGATACAGAGTAGCACAAGATGATACAATTCTCTGTCTAAGGCCATACAGTTTCTGAGTATACAGCTCTCGGAGAGTAGTGTGCTCTCATGAGCAATAACGTAACTGTTGAAGAGTGAAAGTGCCGTAAAGTGGGACATGGCGAGAATAGCATCCGATCTTTTAATTAATAAATAAAGCAAACAAACGGTCCTCGTTTCCTTTGCCTTTTGTATCAAAGCGGCGGAAGATGGCCCGCCGTTTCGTAAGACCTTGGTTCGTATATTAAAATTTTACGCGTCTCTGTGAGAAAATTGCTTTCGATTTGGCCGATCGTTTCCGGGGCTCTTGCTAGAAGTAAAAAAGTTAAACTGATTACCTCACTCTTCTTGTGACTGACAATTTAGCGTTTTTCTTATTATCGTTGACTTCTCTTTTAGCGAAGTTTGTTAGTATATTAGCTATATCATTTGCACTTACATATGCATGCATATCCCCGTAACTGTGTTATATAATTAGATAGGATATGCGGCATTAAACAAAAAGTATCTATAGCCGGTGTTATATTCATTGCACTTTCTATTTCCATCGTAGAGTACGTTTTGAAATTTTATATGGCGTATTATAAATAATCTAAAATTAAAAACCTTGATTAATGGTTTAAATGGATATAAGAATAATACGTAATCATTTTAAATATACATATAATAAAAATTACTAATCAAGAGTTATTATTTATAGATGAATTTAAATATTAACAAATGAATTTTTGGAACGATAATTTTTATGGCAAAATGGAACCACGTGGAACGATCAGTTAAATTTACGCGGCTATCTCACTGCAACAATGGCCGCACCTACAGACATTCGGTGCACATGTAACGTTTGTACCAGAATTCGTGTCACGATTGACCAAATATTTAGCGTTCTAGATGTATACGGCTGGCTCTTGAACTCTTATGTCGTGGTACGTAATATCAAAAATATATCTAGTACCAGCATCTTCTACAGTGTTGTATTCGGATTTATTCGATATATGTCCGAACATTATGGCGCGTGTCATTACTTTCATCGAGTGGTCGCTTTAATGGACTGAACAGGCTACTTTCTTCTTTAATACAGGACTTTTTCCAAGACAAGTTATGGGACAAATTACCGGAAAGTTGGAGATTTGCATTACAAGATACACCTCCTCAAGAATTTGGTAAATGGTTATCAGGAGACATCTCGTGGTAGGTATCGATACTATACTGTTCGAACCTGATGTTTTACAAAGTGTTCTACAATTTTTTTCAATTGTGTTACAGCACACGTGTATGGCCTTTAACATTGCTTGCACTTCGCCAAGTTGCTAATATTTTACAAGTAAATAGAAATCATGAAGACTCAAAGAGTACACTAATTTGTGAATTCAGTAAAACAAAAATAAACAATAATAATAATGAAACTTTGAAAACTAGTAGAAATTATATTTTCGACAAGCTACATTATCAAAATCACAAGTTTAATAATTTGTTTTCAAAGCATATAAAGAAAAAAAAGAGATATGAGATACACGAAATAGCTCAAGTATGCGCAGGCTGTGCCCACGAAGCTAGTTGCAAATGTATTGTTGATATTGGATCTGGAATGGGTCATTTAGCTAGAATCTTAGCATTTCAATATGGATTAAATGTTACTTGCATCGAACAGGATTGTACATTATTGCAACAAGCTAGGTATAACAAGTTGTTATGACACGATGCCATTGAAGTTATTGTTGATAATAATTTTGTTACAGAAAATGGGATCAAGAATTATTGATGTCTATAAGAAAGCACATACCTAATTACCACCAAAAGTGCCCTCAACATTTTACAGCTAAATTAGAATCTTCAAGTTTAGTCGAATCAGAATTAACTAGTCAATTAACAGAATTATTTCAGAATGAGTTTGACTTAAGTGAGACAGAAACTGAATTTGGTCTTATAGGACTTCATCCTTGTGGAGATTTAGCTCCTATATTACTCAAGCTTTACTCATCTAGAAGTGAAGCCAAATTTATCTGTATTGTAGGATGTTGTTATATGAAACTAACGATACAGTTCGTATGTTTTTTTACAGCTCTTCTCCATGTAATATAATAATTAATTCTGTAATACGATTAATAATTAATGTTTAGATCAGATATAAGTGGATCGAAGGGTTATCCACTTAGCAAGTACCTGTTAGCATGTAAAAATCACTCGTTAACATATACAGCATTAGAAGTAGCTTGTCATGCTATTGAAAAATATTGTGACAAATTAAAGAACGGAAATTATGAAGATTTAATAGTTAAGTGAAATTAATAAATATATACATGTTTGAATAAATATTGTTAACTGAATTATTTGTTTCAGGTACACACATATAGAGCAGCTTTAGAAACTATTTTAGTAAAGAAAAATGAAAAATTACGTCACAGTCAATTCAGAAATGTCAAAGTCACAAAAGGGATGACGTTTGAACAGTTAAGTGACTAACATCTAATAGCTGATAGTCAAATACATAAATGTACAAGTATGTACAAATACATTTGATTATTTTAGGTATTGCCGTGCAGCTACTGCAAATTTTGACGCTTATTTGCAGCCGCAGGACTCTGATATTAACAATTTAGAAATAATTAACTTATTAAATCGATGGGAACAAGTGATAGTGTTTGGATCGCTTCGAATGATGTTGGCACCTTTAGTGGAGACCATTGTGCTTTATGACAGATTTTTATTTCTGTCTGAAAGAAATTTGACACCAACACTAAAACCAGTGTTCGATAGCAGACTCTCACCACGAAATTTAGTGTTAATGTCTAGGAAAAATAACTAATCCGTTTACAGTTTTGAATTATTTTCCGATAAAACCTACCTAGAATTTTCCCTCTTCGATCACTCTAAGTGTTATTGCGATCGCACTTCCCGCGTCCACGAATCAAAGTCGCTCCAGATTATGATGCGTCTTTGATTGGACAATATCGTTCGGTCGCAATCGTTGGTGTATTTCAGTTATGTATTTCAGTTTCCAATTTTTCGTTATTCTGCGATAATAACGATTAAAGAGAAAAAAGGAAACCACGTTACAAATACTTTAGTATTCGTTGCAATTGTTCTTTCGATTTGTTATTAAATGGTAGTGTCGTCGGATGAATGCACGATGTAAGCAACGACACGCGGACCAATGAGAGAGTGGAATAACTGGTAGATGCGCGTGCGCACGGTTCCGCCTTAAAGACTCGCCATATCGTTGAAATAGTGGCGTCGGTAGGTAGCGCTGCGGTGGCCGGCTACTTCGTTAGGGGCAGAGACGTTCCTCTCCAGCAACATCGAGATCCAGTTTCCCTTAAGCCGCTCTCGCGCGTTTGTCTGTTCTCGTCGCGTTCGCGTCGTATCCTACCGATTATTTTCTCCTTCCTCCCCCCTCCCCCGCCCGCGCACGAGATCGTCGACACGGTAGAGAGCCGCGCGGTATACACACGGACGTGTCGTCGTAGCACCGAGTGCTCCGCTTTTAAAACTAAATTGCCCGGTGCCCGAGCCCCAGGATGGCGTTCAACGGAGACGGACCACACTCCAAGAGGCAGCGACTCGAGGAATCTGGTCACAGGGTGAGTACACTTTATATATCAGATTCGGCCGTGGTATTTCTTCTTTCGTCATCGGGAATTTGTCGATCAGTTTTTTTTCGTCGGACGGATTTTGCCCGTTATCCGAGCAGTTTGGTACACTGGCATCGTGAACGCGTGCGTTTCGGCGTGTCGTCGCGTGAGATTTACAACCCGTGAGGCGGTCGCGACACAGCGGAGGGGGGAAAGTCGCCATTTATCCGGTCGCTTTTACCCATATCACCGCCACCGCGTCGAAACAATGGGCGATGCGCGCGCTCTCGAAGGAGATTGTCTGGTGTCGTGGTCGTGTCGTGTATAATATACGAAACGCACGTTTGCCTGATACGTGGCTCGTGTTTCAGCCAGCAACCTGTTATCCCGTACGTGTGCTCTTTGCAATAATCGCTTCGAATCGAGAATTCATCGACGACGCCGTCGCCACTGTCGTGGAAAGGCTTGCCCTGTTCCATCGTCGTTATTGGCGACGGCTGGTGCGCGAGGATGCACGTTCAAAACAAACCCCCGTCGGTGAACCGGGGTCGATAATTTCCATCGCGTTATCACCGCGAGACGAGGCGTTGTCGCGATGCTCGCCGCCTGCGATTATCTCGAACGGCAGTTTCGTCCTTATACCGTGACCTATGAGATATTCGGAGAAACAGACCAGATAATAGCAGCACTATACTCGAACGCGTTGTGGACTTAGGAGTCTCCGGTCGACGGCTCCCATGCATTTGTTATATCGTTTGTTTGGAGCGACGTTTTCGTCCTGAAATCGATCCCTGGGCATTCCGTTAACGTGATATTAACCGAATGTATCCGGCGAGGGTATCGAAGGTACGAGAAAATACATTGGTCCTTACGTGTATCCGGTGATTGTTAAAAAATGTTCATTTGTATTTTCGTTGTTTCTGTTGTATATATATATCTGTTGTATATATATATATATATACACACATGATACTGTTGTATCGTAAAGTACAATTAATTACCATTTTAGTACATTATATATTATATATATTATATACATTATATATTATATATATATTATATACATTATATATTATATATATTATATACATTATATATTATATATATTATATACATTATATATAATATATATCATATACATTACATATTATATATATTATATACATTATATATTATATATAT